ACAGCCATGCAACACCTGTATGAAAGTCAATACCATCCTGTTAAGGACAGGTTTTGTTGTTCATATTGAGTAGTGAACTTAATCGAAAGATGTAGTAGTGATAATATTGAAAACAACTAAAGATATAATTGATAAACTATTCAGATAAATCTAAGTATCTAATTGCAAATCACAAGTATTCACCATGTCCAGAGTTTACGATCAGTTAAGTTTTCTAACATTTAAAACATATTTTATCACAAGCCAGAAATCATTTATTTTATGAAAACCCTAATTAATTCATCCGAACATGCAAACCCAATTATTTGACTCGCATAGAATCTCAAACATTCGATGTACATGGTACAATGAATTAAAAGATTTTACAAAGCAAAGATTTTACTAAAAAATGAATTAAATTAAAAAAATCATATATTAAAAATATTGGATCAAAAATAATATCGTGTTTTATTGAAAGCTTATCCCCCTAACTTTAGTTAAGGACTTTAGCAATCCATAGGAAAAAAATACAAAACTAAAAAGAAGGGCCGCCGAAGGCGGAATCCCCTAAATTAGGGCTTACATGAGTTTTTATAGCATTCAAGAACCCAAAAACCTAATTAACATCAAAAACTAAGGTTATTGGTCAGGTCTCGTCATCGCATCTGGACGTATGTTTTGAACTATATTGGCACACCTTGTTGTCTTGGCCTCTCTGTCGATCGTTTTCGAACATGTGTTTCCAGTTGTCTGGGCGCACTTAAAATTCTTGGCCTTTCTGCTACTTGGGTGCAGACGCACATATTATACCGTCCAGATACATTCTTATCGTTTTGCCTTTGTAGCCTCTAGAAGTCACGTCCGAATGTGTTTGATCCACCGTCTGGATGTACGACTTTTTTTTTCTCTTTTTGGCTTCTAATTGCTCTAAATACATTCTCTATTGCACATTTGCCCCCCTTTAAGTATCGCAATCATCTACCTTACTTGCAAATTGACAAATACTACAAAAGAAAGATAAGATCCAAAACTCAATCAATTTAACACAATTAGCCCTTCACCCAATGTAATTAGACAACTATTATTATAGTAATCATGTAATATTCATGGCTAGTCATCCACGCAAGAACTTGGACTGATTTCCACCCAACCAATGGGTTTCTCTTTTTGAGGAAACCAACTGTGTGTTCCTGAATGTAGCCTCCGATTACAGCTGATTCATGAGCTCTACAACGAGTTGAACCATTGATGGGGATCGTGTAGGAATTGGATAGATATTATAGATTAATTATGATAGTTATTTAGATACTTTTAATATTTAACTTTTAAGTAATTTCTTTTAATTTTTAAGGGTTTAGTTGTCATTTTGATTATTTATTTATTTTAGGGTTTATTATCTCCTTATATATATAGGATTTGTGAATTCTTTATATATATATGGGATACATATTTATTGAGAGACTAGACTTTGATTATTGATTGTTGATATTAAATGTTCTTCTTAAAATTCTCTCTATATTCTCATCCTCTTCTTCTTCTTTTCTCATCGCTTTCTTCTTCCTTTCTCATCTCTAATTCTTTCCTAATACGATCTACATCAATTTGGTATCAAAACCCAATTTTGATTCGGGAAAAAAAAAATTTAAAAACGAAATTACTGTTCATCGCACTGTTCACAGGTGCACTGTTCATCCGTGTACTGTTCATCAAAAAAAATATTGTTCATCCAAAAATGCTAATCATCAGTAAAAGAAAAAAAAAAGGAGGAAACAAAAATTTTTATCATATTTCGTCGCTGTAACAATAGCCTGGTGAGTTAAGTTTTGAACTAAAGTTCCCAGCAGATTCAGCAAATTACATAAACATCTCCATAAGTCCCAAAAATTGTAGATACATCCCAAGAGGTCTTCAAAAATTACAGAAATATCCCAAAAAATTTCAAAAATTACAGAACCACTACTAGAAAATTTCAGAAATTACAGAATCACCACTAGAAGTTTTAAAAATTATAGAATCTTCCCCCCAGAAGTTCCAGAATTATAAAAAATATTCCCAACAGATCCATAAAATTGTAAAATTATTCCCAAAAAGTTTCAGAATTTTCTTTTGATTATGGTATGCATACTCCTATAGAAATTTGAAATTGATATTTTTATTCATTGAAAAATTAAAAAAATTGACAAAGGATCCAAATTATTTGTCAATTACATTCTTGAACTTGTTTTGGCGTTATTCCCTTGTTCCAAGAGTCACTCATGAGTTTCTCTAATACGCGTGTTTCAAGAATCTCTCCTCAATGTCATCATCATAGGAAGTCAAAGAATGTTTACATGGAGTCAACCCATATGACCAAATGAATCAAAGATCCTTCTACATTTTGTGGTACTCCGGATCCCAATCAATTCTTGGATTGGTTAGCAAATTTAGAAGAATATTTTGATTGGCATGGCATGTCGGATTCCCATTGCGTCCGTTTTGCTAAATTGATGTTGAAGAGTTCCGCCAAAAAATATTAGCAAACAATCCAAAGAAACCTAGACCCCTTAGGAGAATCATCTATCACTTGGGTTGAAATGAGATATAAATTGAAAGAGAAGTATTTGCCTACTTCCTATATGGATCAAGTTTATGACCAATGGCTCAATCTTAGACAACATTCTTCTAGTGTCTCTGATTACTTTGCCCAATTTGATTATCTCATGTACTTGTGTGACATTGTTGAAGAACCTTGAACAATTGATCAGTTTATTTTTGGGTTGAGACAAAAAATTAGTAGGGAGGTTAAACAATACACTTTTAATACGTTAGTTACAGCCTATCAATATGCTCTAAAGGTTGAGAGATTTCATAAGAAATCCAACTATACCTTGATGAGTTCTCAATCACAGCCTGCTGATAGGACATCTTCCAATTTTAATTCAATCACATATGAGTATCATGATTACTTAAACGATGTTCATGTTGTTTCTGCATGCTTTCATAATTTGAATGTGGCAAAGGATTTAGATATTTTAGTGTCAGATAAAGAGAAAAATGTTACTCATATGGACTTCCAACTCCCTCATTTGGTTTTGTCATATCAGAGTCTTCCTCCTTTGCACCCACAAGAGTCCATTTCGAAAGAAAGTGTGTGTAAGTCTTTGTTTGTGTCAATTCTTGAACCATCATTGATCTTGAAAATTGTGAAAAAGTCTTTTGAATCTACACCTATGCAAGATATTAAACCAATCGAGTCATTTATTACAGAATCTAATAGTAACTATTCTATATCTACTTATCCAAGTCATCATGACTTTGTTACAGATTCTTCCCAATTTGATATTGTTGACATTGTTCTGGATTCTGCCTCACTTGAGAGTGTTAACTTTGATTCTTTGCCTACTGTCAAGTGTTCAATTGAGTCTGTACTTTCTTATTTTCAGCACCAGGGTGTTATAGTTACTCCTTTGTCACTGATGTCTTGTCCCATTGAATGCATATTGTTCAAATCTAATGGGAATTGTTTTACTATTCTTGAGTTTAGATCTAATGTTTATTTGCTTAATTTTTCATTGAATGTTAGTATTAGTCCAGATTTTTATTTGGAGGACATGCTGCTTAATCGAGGTACTCCAGAACCTCCTATTTTATTCGTAGGTGTTCATACAGATGGAGATTCTTGCATTTATCATTGCCGATGGAAAGAAATCGATGATTCTTTCATTCTAGATGAGGCATTATGTCATCTTCATCCTTCTCTCTTGAGGTACTTCTACTTTGAAGACTCTCTGGAGGAGAGTTTTATTCAACCGGAGGAGAATGATGGAGATCGTGTAGGAATTGGATAGATATTATAGATGATAGTTATTTAGATACTTTTAATATTTAATTTTTAAGTAATTTTTTTTAACTTTTAAGGGTTTAGTTGTCATTTTGATTATTTATTTATTTTAGGGTTTGTAATCTCTTTATATATATAGGATTTGTGAATTCCTTATATATATAGGGGATACATATTTGTTGAGGGACTAGACTTTGATTATTGATTATTGATATTTAATGTTTTTCTTAAAATTATCTCTCTATTCTCATCTCCTTCTTTTTCTTTTTTCATCCATTTTTCTTCCCTTCTCATCCCTAATTCTTCCCTATTACGATCTACATCAACCACCTTGGGCAGATTTAGTATAGACTTCATTCTTGGCTTGCCTCAAACTAGCGAGGTGGTAACTCCATTTAATTGATGGTGGTTCATTTTTTTTAAAAACGGCACACTTCATTCCTTGCAAGAACACTGCTGATGTATCGTGTGTTGCTTATTTCTACTTCAAGGATGTTTACCATCTGCTTGGTGTACCACAATCTATTTTCTCATATCGTTATACCCATTTTTTTGGCCACGTTTGGAATAGTTTGTGGAGCCTGGCCAACATAAAGCTGGGGTTCAATTGTGCCTACCGCCCTAAAATTGATGGCCAAGCTGAGGTAGTTAATCGATCGATGGATAATTTATTTCACAGTTTGGTGGGTGATCATCTGAAGAGCTGGGATCATTAGATTTATCAGGCGGAATTTGCATACAACCATTCTTTCACCCATAGCACTGGTCGTAGTCCTTTCTAGATTGTTTATGGTGGTAGCCTAAGATCACCACTTGATCTAGCTCCAGTTCCTACATACCAAACACAGATCAAGTTGGTCAAAATTTATTTCACAGGAAAAAATATTATCTCAGTTCTAACCAAAACCCATACTTAAAGTTTAGATTTATTTTCAACCAGATAAAAGGCCTAAGCAACTGTATTCTTATTCACGACAAGTCCTTGAATATAATGCATAAAACATCCATAATTTTAGACACAACCATCGTTACACACCACACCCTAAACGAATTTAAAACGTTATACATCATCTTAATACCTCTATTATATCAAACACAACATTCAACATTCACTGTGTAAATAACTAAGCCGCCAGATATTATAAAGTGATCCAAGCTCATCGAGACAACTACAACCACCACGATCACCGCCACCATGCTCTTACCTAGAATCGGGAGAGCCATCCCCATAAGAGACCAGGCCTGTCTTCCCAGTGGGACTTGCAGAAGATGACCTTGACCTTAGCCTCTCTTTGCTTGCCTGCTTAGGAGATTGTGAATCACGGGAAGACCTTGATTCAGAAGGGGTCCTGCTCCGAGAAGGTGATCTCCGCCTCTCGGTACGTGGGGATGGACGATATCTAGATTCCTCCATGGGAGAGCGGCTGCGACTGTAACGGCGGCTGCGATAGCGGATTGGGCTCCATGACACACTACGGCTCCTGGTTCTGCTTCTTCTGCTTCGGTATCTGTGAAGTATTGCACTAGTTAGATACCACATGTAACAATAGCAGGTCTCATTTTACCCTTAATTTTTAAGCTGATCTGTAACAGCCTAAAGCTAAATAATAATTTTCTTATCTGGGATCTGGGAATAAATCATGTCAAACTCACTCAAAGAACACAGCAAAAAAACCATGCGTGATTGGTTGATTGACAAGAGGAGTATTGACAAAATTAAAAGGTCCCAAAAATAAAAAACAAAAAAGCAAATAGAATATTGCAACAGGAGTAATGCATGCATCAGCAAAGTAGAATCGAACTGAATCATCACAAATTCGAATGAATAAACACTGATATATGTGCTCCATAGTGTTCCTTAGACGATGTCAATTGTCATATTGAGGCACAAAGGATGCCAATACCAGCCCCTTGCCTACTACCTTCCCCCTGATTTAAAATTTAAATAACTCCAAGTTATAAAGTCTAGGGACCAATATGATGATTGGTTTCAGTAGGGCGGCTGCCCTAATACAGGCACCATAGGGATTACTGTGAGACTGCGATCCACAAACTGACACATGGGACTCACCTTTATTTGGAAATAGAGAGGGAAAATATAACATGCCACAAGAGTGAGGTGAGGTTTAAGAACCCTACTGCAAGAGGACTCCTAGCAAGCTAGGCTTTTAGAGACGAGGCCTTTTGGCAAAGCAAGCCAATTTTGGGCACCAAACCCTGCAACCGATAAGAAGGCCCACGACGGACCAAGTTTCCCTTTACAGCAGCACACACTATTCACACTGAAACAGCAAGGATGGACCGACATTGTCCAAGCAGAATTGGCCACATTATCAAGTGTACTATTCGAATGCATGCCCAACAGGGACATGGATCCTTTGTGGAAGCACAAGTATAACTTGGACCCAACCATTAAAAAGAAAAGGACAACAAAACATAGCATAGAGAACTTAGCCAACTTCAAATCAGAATCCAAATTCTTGCTAAACAAAGCAACCACCTCTTGGAAAGAAGCCAAGGTTTTCACATTGATTGAAAAAGTTGAAATTTGTAGGAGCTAAAATAATTATGGTGATAATACCAAAAACAAAGTAAATCACATCAGAGACCTCGGAGGAGTTCTTCCCCTTAGTGGGCTCCTGTAGCGCCTAGGCGATCTCCTGTGGCTTGAATATCTAGAAACATTAAAAAAGAGAAGAGACAAAAGGAAATTAACCAAAGCAACCACCACCAAGAAAATCACAATGATGTAGAAAGATGGGTTTGTTTATTACCTGTCACGATCACTTCTCCCACCATAACGATATGATCTCACGGGGGAACGATCTGGAGAACGGCTCCGGTATCTACGCACGTAAGAGTATCGCTCACTGAAACCCCTCCCCCTTCTAATGCGCTTGGATGAGCCATCTAGTGAAGGACTTCTTGATGAACTCCTTCCACGATCAGAAATGGGTGACCTTACCCTACGTCCAGCACTTAGAGGACTTCTTGAATAGCTGCGACGATTATTCCTCATCGGTGCTCTAACTGGACTTCTGCTGGCCTTTCTCCTAGAAGGGGCCCTACCAGAGCTTCTGCTTATGCTTCTTCGANCTGCGACGATTATTCCTCATCGGTGCTCTAACTGGACTTCGGCTGGCCTTTCTCCTAGAAGGGGCCCTACCAGAGCTTCTGCTTATGCTTCTTCGAGATGATCTGATAGGGCTTCTGCTTATGCTTCTTCGAGATGATCTAACAGGACTTCTGCTCACTGATTTCCGGGAAGATTTCCTCGATGAGGTTCTTGGTGGGCTCCGGCTAAGGCTCCTCTGAGGAGATGATGTGGGACTTCTGCCAAAGCTTCTTCGAGATCGGCCTCTCACTGGGCCTGGGCTTGGGCTTATGCTTCTTCCCTTCTTGCCCCTTACAGGACTTCCGCTGGCACTTCTAGCCGGGCTCCTGCTGCTTCCACTCCTAACTGAACTCAGGCTGATACTTCTGCTTCTCTGAGAGACTCGTGGAGGGGGGCTTCCACTAATACTTGGACTCATGCTAACACTCCTTTTGGAGCTCACACTCTGATTCTTGCTCAAATTCTTCTTGGGACTAATACTCATACTCTTACTCATGGTCCTTTTAGGACTTATGCTTCGGCTCCTGCTCATCAACTTTTTATATAATACCAGATCTGGAAGAATCGGTAAGCATAAAGAATAACTGAGTTGCGAGAAGAATGGAAAGTGAACCTAGATTTCCCAGGGTGATCATCTACTACATCAGGTTGTCTATCTGCACTCTTGTCCGAACCGTTTCCCACTTCAATCCTGTTGCTCTGGTGCTCTCCATTTTCCTTGGAGAATTCTCCCTCTTCCCTTTCGAGCATAACACTCGCCTCCCGATTTTTATAATGACTGGAAGCAGCTTCCTTCTCCTGAACTAGAAGAGACTGATCTCCAACTGCACAAGGTAACAAAATTGCAGAAGCATGCATTATTGATGTAAGTACACATTTTAGAAATCTGCGCAACAAGAGAATAACATATCACAATCAAAGCATGACAACAGTCATAACAAACACAAAAATTAAACAGCAGTCCTTTAAATGCATTAGTGTGTAGAGTTATATTCAATCATGATACAATCAAAATGGTAATCAAAACAGCATAACCAGATAGGCATTGAAGTAATAGAGAAATTTCCTTTTAGTAATGTAATGCTGGTGCATGATGCACATAAGGCCTCTACACAATTTACTCCCTTTAATGGCAAGTGCCGGTAGGGTGGGAGTGTGGAAAGAAATAACACATTAACCAAAAGAATAACCACATGGCTAGGGGGACATAGTCACCCACAAAAGCAAAGAAAAAAAATAATGCAGCGTGGAACACAAGCAGAGGGTGTGGTCACCCACTGGTATAGGGTCATAGATAAATTTGTAAGTGACATAATGTGTCAAATACCCGGTAACTAGCATGCATTCAAGAATATAAACTCTACGATATCACTCATATGGTAGGACCCTGAACACTCCAAAAGCACAAGAAATGAGGGGCCCAGCCATCAAAGAAAAAAATGACAAATACACATCCAAAGATATACACAAAAGGGTATAATACATGTATAAAATAGAGAGAGCTGGAAAGTAAAAAATCATTAAAAAGTATGAGGCAGATACACCATAAAATGGATTCAGTCATACCAGCTGTCTTATTAGCTGAGGTTTTATGCTTTGGACCTAGCCTTCCAACATCATCTTCAGAGCTACTTTCACTCCCACTCTCAGAAAGACCATCCAAGGCCCTGTACAATATTACAGAAAACAGAAACTAAGCATGACACCAAAGATAAAGCTAACAGTGGAACTGAAAGAGACTTAATATTGTCCTCAGAAGATGGCAGATAATCACAAATGCTGCTTCTATAAAATCCCAGCAGTTTCTCTAATCCATCCTCCAACACCAAAGAGTAAGAAACAAGGGAGGGGAGAGACAACAAACACAGGCATGCACATGCACAAAGACTAAATAAATTATAATAAAGACAATCAGACAATATTAATAGGAAGAGAGAAAGAATATATCGAACACCAGATGAAAGCCTGCATCATTTTCTCTCACATTCGTATTCATGGTCTATACATCCTCCATGGAAGACAGCAGTTTTAATCAATATCAGATGGCCTAAACAGAACCAGAAGAGCCAAAGTGACATGCAATTTTGTATTTGTTTCAAACATAGGATAAGTAATAGTTATAACCTCTCCTTCTCCCAGCATCAGGAGATAGATAGAAAAACAGGGCTGACTGGCAATATGTGTCAATTTTTGTCACATGCTGTTAAATTTCAATATTCTCTACAATGAGNAGGATAAGTAATAGTTATAACCTCTCCTTCTCCCAGCATCAGGAGATAGATAGAAAAACAGGGCTGACTGACAATATGTGTCAATTTTTGTCACATGCTGTTAAATTTCAATATTCTCTACAATGAGTTGTTGTAATTTAATTGTGTAGCAGAAAGGCATGGGTGGTTGACTGGGTTTCAGTTGCTGATCTGCCAAGTAAATGAAAATCGTTTTCCACTGACAAAGGTGATGTGATCAACAAGGTTACCATGGTATTGTTTCTAAAAACGTATGTACGCATTTCCAAGCAAAAGTTCCAGCTAGGCCAATAAGTCAAACAACACATTTTCAAAAAAGAACACACGATTTACAGTCTCCCAGGTTAATATAGCCAAAAAAAATAAAACTAGGGAAAATGCACAAATAACCTGAAACTATGTAAGAAACAAACAACAGAAATAGATAATAATCAACAATGCCAATACAACCTTTTTGATCTGCGTTTTGATCTCTTATTGTACCTCCTCCGCTTTTTTTCCCGGCGTCTATCCCTCTTTTTTCCACGTCTATATTTATCCCTCTTAGAAGATTTCTTTTTCTTGCCACGCCTGTCATCACTTGAAGAGCTAATGTCAGTTGATGAAGAGATATACGAGTCAGAATCAGTATCAGATTCAGATAATTCAGTCTCAGTATCCGAGGAAGTATCTGATTCAGATGTGTAATATCTTCTCTTCTTCCTTCTCTCTTTTAAGGACTTCCTGTGCTTTTCCCTGTTTCGTGCTTCATGGCTGTTTGCCTCAGAAGAAGCATCCGTCCCCATTTTCAGTTTATTCACTTTCCTTTTGTCTACAACAAAAACAACAAAATCAATAACAAAAATCATAAATGGCAAAAGCAAAAAAGCTAAATTTTACTTTAAAGAAACTGTATAACCCCAAAATTAACAAAATAATATTTCATAACAAGATGATACCACTCTGCAACAAAGCAGCACTCGGATTCTCGGCCTCATGAATTTCACCACAATAAATTATCTTCACAGTTACATCCAGTCTCCCTTCTTCATTGCCAGCATTTTCAATCTTTTTCAAAACTTCATGTCCTCGAACGAGTTTCCCAAAAACTACATATTTCCTGTTAAGGAGATGTCCATTAGTTGAGGAAGATAGAAATTTTTTCATGTATCAGGCGAAATAAAACAACATAGGAACAATAATTAGAAAATACATCTAGAATGATGACCGATGTTCAAGTCAACATTATTCCAAGTAGCTTCCATGTAAGTAATTTGAAGTACTGTAGCAACTAACATATAAAAAAACCTGTCAAGATGGTGATTAGCCTTGAAGGTGATATTGAACAGAGAACCGTGTGTATCGCGATCAGCAATCGCCATTGACAGAAGACCAGGACCATCATGCTTCAGCTTGGGGGATTCATCTAAAACATATCACAAATACCACTGATTACTCCTCTCTTGATAAAATAAATTAAGAAACCTTGTTTACATATAGCATGTTTACATCAGACACTTCTCAATTCAAACGAAATTAAGAAATGAGACTACATACGTTGCTCCCCGAAAGCAATGCAGGGCAATACAAAGCTTGTTATTAACAACCACACCAAATCAGGACATTATCTATGACACAAATGATCGGAATCAAATGGATTGGAATGAAAGGGACACTATCCATCGAAGAGAGGTCTGTAAACAGTAAAATCTTGAGGTCTTAAACAGTGGCATCCAAGAGGCGAGCAAACCTGATGACTTTTCAAACCTTTAGCCCTTCTTCGTTATTGATGGCTTGGGCCAAGAAGTTCCCTTTGGGGTGTTTCAGATCCTCCTGGCATTTTTCTGGTTTTTATTGCCCCTACTCTCGTCAGATTACTAGGTGGAAAAGAAAGGGCAAGACCACATTTCCTACATTTCTACAAGATCTGTACTAGCAATTTGCTCACTTTGTGAATGAAACACATTAAGGTGAATAAATAGCAGCTACTGTCCAAGTGTTGGTGGCAATACAGCAACAGTGAAACTACAAGACAGTATTGCTGAGACTGGTGACAAAAACATTCCCAATGGTGGCAGCAGGTGCAACAATTCGTGCAGCAGGTAAGTTTGTTGCCAGCAATGATGTTNACATTCCCAATGATGGCAGCAGGTGCAACAATTCGTGCAGCAGGTAAGTTTGTTGCCAGCAATGATGTTATAGACAACAGAAATAGAAAAGGTCCAGCTGTGGATGTCTGCTGAACAGTTGATGCAGCAATTGTGTTCATGATTTCAACAATAGGGATTTTGGTAGAGACAGAGAACAGAATGTATGTATGTGTTAGAGAAAAAGTAGGAAATGTTGGTACTGCCAACAGCAAAAATGTTCCAGGCTTCCAGCTATGGATGTTTGGCGAACAGCCGATGCAGCAATGGGGTTAATGGTTTCCATAATAGAGATGACNAATGCAGTTCGGGTTGTATGTATGTGTTAGAGAAAAAGTAGGAAATGTTGGTACTGCCAACAGCAAAAATGTTCCAGGCTTCCAGCTATGGATGTTTGGCGAACAGCCGATGCAGCAATGGGGTTAATGGTTTCCATAATAGAGATGACGGCAGAGGCAGAGAGAACAGAAATGCAGCCCAGGTTGTGTTTGTGTTGCAGAAAGGGTGGGAATTGTTTGTACTACCAACAGCATACTGGCGGTAAAGGTGGTCTCATGGTGACAGCTTCTCCTGGCGGTAACTATTGTTGACCACAATTAACCCAAAACATAGTTATTAGTATCGTACGATACGCAATATGGATCGTACGATACATCACGATACACCTGAAAAATGATATGTATCGTGTCTTTGTATCGTTTTTACACCGTATCGTACAATACGAAACGATAAGCCCGATACATGCCAATTGTGGTTTTTTTTTTTTTTTGGGTTGAAATGGCATCGTTTTACCGTAAGACTTATTTTTAAATCACTAGCTAATNCATGGCGGTAACTATTGTTGACCACAATTAACCCAAAACATAGTTATTAGTATCGTACGATACGCAATATGGATCGTACGATACGCAATATGGATCGTACGATACATCACGATACACCTGAAAAATGATATGTATCGTGTCTCTGTATCGTTTTTACACCGTATCGTACAATACGAAACGATAAGCCCGATACATGACAATTGTGGTTTTTTTTTTTTTTTGGGTTGAAATGGCATCGTTTTACCGTAAGACTTATTTTTAAATCACTAGCTAATGAAACGTCATTTCAATGGTTATGGTTTAAAAAAAATAAATAAAGTCTGCTATTAATATTGTTTGATTGAATTCAAAATTCCTGATTAATATTAAGATTGCTCAAGCAGTTGATACTAAAAGTTTGAATTAGAGGTCTTTGCATTTTGATATTACTTAACTATGTTGGGAACTTGAATGGTTAGTGAAATATTAATAAAATACTATATTATTATGAGTCTANTTGGGTTGAAATGGCATCGTTTTACCGTAAGACTTATTTTTAAATCACTAGCTAATGAAACAACGTCGTTTCAATGGTTATGGTTTAAAAAAAATAAATAAAGTCTGCTATTAATATTGTTCGATTGAATTCAAAATTCCTGATTAATATTAAGATTGCTCAAGCAGTTGATACTAAAAGTTTGAATTAGAGGTCTTTGTATTTTGATATTACTTAACTATGTTGGGAACTTGAATGGTTAGTGAAATATTAATAAAATACTATATTATTATGAGTCTATGACTTTTTTACAAAGGTATATACATATATTTTATTAACAATTATTTAAAAATTAAAATTGCACGTATCTTACGATACACGATATACAATATGATATGATACACTTTTTAAAAAACGATACGCCTTCCGATACACGATTTGACAACTATGACCCAAAGTACTAATCACCAGACTGGTGAGCAGAACTGATTAGCCACAAAGAGGGCAATCCTTGACTCAGTAAAGTTGCTCCATTGTGACATAGGCATCAAAGGTTCCAGTCACAAAACCTGCCCTTCGATATAAAGTTGCGTGCATCTGACCCTCTCCAAACTCCAATCTTCGTGCATTACGTTGTCTTTTATTGATGCATCATAGTGCAAATTTCACCATGGCAAGCGGCTCGTGTATTGGACCTCCCTTTATTGGTGTGCTATAGTGTTGGCCTCACAAAGGATTAAACAGTAGGTAAGGAGATCCTTTTTCTCCTTTTATATTCACATTGATGATTGATCTCTTGAGCTAGATGATAATTCAAGCAAATGAAGTAGGATGATAGAGAGTTTGAGGGTGGCTGGTTAGGATGTAACTGTATCGCATTTGCAATTGTAGATGACACAAATTTTTTCCTATCAGATAAAAGAGTGTCTTCAAAACGAGCTTTCACTAATTAAGGTTTTGAAAATTAATATGTCCAAAAGTGGTGTTATAGGCATCAATTTGGAGGAGGAGGTTGTCAGAGATTTTGGCATTAAAGGTGTGTTGTTCANGAGTGTCTTCAAAACGTGCTTTCACTAATTAAGGTTTTGAAAATTAATATGTCCAAAAGTGGTGTTATAGGCANAAAATACTATATTATTATGAGTCTATGACTTTTTTACAAAGATATATACATATATTTTATTAACAATTATTTAAAAATTAAAATTGCACGTATCTTACGATACACGATATACAATATGATATGATACACTTTTTAAAAAACGATACGCCTTCCGATACACGATTTGACAACTATGACCCAAAGTACTAATCACCAAACTGGTGAGCAGAACTGATTAGCCACAAAGAGGGCAATCCTTGACTCAGTAAAGTTGCTCCATTGTGACATAGGCATCAAAGGTTCAAGTCACAAAACCTGCCCTTCGATATAAAGTTGCGTGCATCTAACCCTCTCCAAACTCCAATCTTCGTGCATTACGTTGTCTTTTATTGATGCATCATAGTGCAAATTTCACCATGGCAAGCGACTCGTGTATTGGACCTCCCTTTATTGGTGTGCTATAGTGTTGGCCTCACAAAGGATTAAACAGTAGGTAAGGAGATCCTTTTTCTCCTTTTATATTCACATTGTTGATTGATCTCTTGAGCTAGATGATAATTCAAGCAAATGAAGTAGGATGATAGAGAGTTTGAGGGTGGCTGGTTAGGATGTAACTGTATCGCATTTGCAATTGTAGATGACACAAATTTTTTCCTATCAGATAAAAGAGTGTCTTCAAAACGAGCTTTCACTAATTAAGGTTTTGAAAATTAATATGTCCAAAAGTGGTGTTATAGGCATCAATTTGGAGGAGGAGGTTGTCAGAGATTTTGGCATTAAAGGTGTGTTGTTCAGTTTGAGTGGCTTATGATATAGCTAAGGTTACTGTTGTGTTGGAGAGGGGGGGAATCTGAGATCATTGTATGTTTGGAATCCAGTAGTTGAAATGGTGTGCAAAACGTTAGATGGTTAAAAAATGGCATATTTTTTCCTTGGAGAAAGGATTGCATTATGTTTGTCTAGCACCCCTTTGTACTATTTATTACTCTTTAGAACCCTTGCTGCAGTAACTAGAAGTTTAGAGAAGATGATGAGATTTTCTTTGGTTTGGGATGGAAGATGATAAACAAGATCATTTAGTGAGTTGGGAGACAAATTGTAAGCCCATAGATGAAAGGGAATTAGAACTGGGGAACTTGGTGTCTAAAAACATTTCCCTTGTACGAAAAAGGTTATAAAGGTTCCCGTTAGAACTTGACTTCCCTTGGTATAAGACAATTAGGAGAAACTATGGTCTTCAGAGGAATGGGAGGGGATACTAAGTCAAGGAATAACGTTATCCACATGAGTCGCTGGAAGTTCATTTCACGTGATTACCCTTCTTTTCTTCTGTTGACTCGATATAAAGTTGGAGATGGATCAAATGTTCTATTTTGAGAGGATGTATAGATTGGGGATTCATCATTTCATAATATCTTTCCCCATCTTTAGTGTTTATCCTCACCCCATGAGGCTCCTATTTCCTCTTTTATTGTCATAGGGACGAGCTTATGTTCTTGGGATTTTCATTTCTTTAGACATCTTAATGACGGGGAAGCAATTGATCTAACTTCTTTGCTTCACATTCTAAGTGACTTCCAACCTTGTCCTTCTCGTGATAGTAGAATCTAGACATTGGATAAATCTAAGATCATTTCATGCAAATCTTTCTATTCACATCTTGTTAGTTCCAAAAAAAAAATGACTCTTTCTCTTTAGCCAAATTTATTTGACAAGCCAAAGTTTCCCCCAAAAAAAAATATTAAGGCTTTTGTTTGGACTATTGTCCTTAATCGGGTGAACACTAACGATTTGCTACAAGTTCGGAGGCCTATAAAACATTGAGCCTTGACATTTGTCTTGTTTGAGTAGTGGAGAATCATATGCTCATTTATTTATTCACTATGGTTTTGCATGGACCTTGTGGAATACATTATTCAGTTTGATTGGTGAAGCTTGAGTGTGCCCTTCTACAGTGGAGCAGATGCTGCAGATTAAGTTTTGAGATTTTGGAGTTTTGAAAAGAAAAAGGAAGCTAAAGTACTATGCCATTGTGTGATCATAGCAATTCTTTGGTGTATTTGGTGGAGAGAAATGCTAGAATTTAAATAATCGTTCTCTTCCTTTTGATTTAGCATGGGAGCGATTAGTTTTTATGGCTTCACTTTAGACCAAAGCCACAAAAAATTTAGACAGATGTCTTTGTCAGATCTTCAAAGGAATTGGATAGCGGCATTACATTAGTTTTATTTTCTATTTTTTGTTGGAGTTTTTCCCTATGTTATTTTTACTTTACTTGTGCTAAGGATATATTGTCCTCAACACAACATTGTATTATGTTTATTTATTCCTTTCTATAATAATATTCTTCTTTTATCAAAAAAAAAAAAAAAAAAGATTAAACGGCTAGGTAGTACATAAACTTAAGTCTCACTTACATAAAAAGTTTTCATATGCTAGACCTAAAACTATAGCAAGGATCTGAATAAGGCCATACCCAAACCCTTGGCAATACAATCAAAAGGGGAAAATTATATTTCACCACCTTGTGGTTTGACCCTATAGCACTTCACCTACCTATTGTTCCAAAATAACCACATGACATTAATGTGATTTTGGATTAAATTGAGATGGTCCTCCGAATTGATGGTAAGTATGACACATGCACTAAATTCATGACTTAGCATGGACCACAAGCTTCCTACTCCAACTTAATGCTAAAAAGATTTGGAAAATCGCATTTTAAATTCTTTGAGAAGACAAAATGTTCTTTAATTTTTATTGTTCAACGTATTTGTACTTCATCCACCTAAAACCCTAGCTTCTTCCCTTTATTCTTAGTTGCAATAGGCCCCAACATCCACAATTTTTTTTGATCATGTCATCATCAACAATGCACTTAAAGTTTTTTTCACCTACAAATNACCTAAAACCCTAGCTTCTTCCCTTTATTCTTAGTTGCAATAGGCCCCAAAATCCACAATTTTTTTGATCATGTCATCATCAACAATGCACTTAAAGTTTTTTTCACCTACAAATTTCCAGCCAACTCAGTCTTGAGTTTGACCGGCACCGTGTTGACTTGATGCTAAAATTTGGCTAGAACGTTTTTGCAGCTTCAACCAAAACCCTCAATCTTTTCCACATCTAATGTGCTCCCAAGAGCACTAAGGCAAAACTACTCTAGGGCTTTTTACTATATTAAAAGGA